AAGTGTGGGTAATCAAATGGTTGCTACCGTTATTACCGGAATATTGCTGCCAAAGGGTTTTCAAGATTTTGAGGGTGGGTAAGTTTTGAAGGTGAGATTTGGGGAAGATAGATAGGTGGTGATGGAGGTGAGTGCTCTCATAAACCCTAATTCGTGATGTAGTGATGTGTGGATTTAATTGTGAAATGGGGTGTCCCAAGATCAATGATGTCGTTTTTAATAATTTTATTTGAGGTTATTATTGTCATAAAAAAGAGCTAAAAATTAAGGGGTCCAAAATAATTCATAGGGTGCCAATAGAAACACTCGAATAAAAATATTTCAATTTTTCTTTTTCTTTTGTCTTTCCCTCATTCCCATCTCTTTGTTCTCTGTAATGTAATCCAACCATTGTAATTTCTTATTTCATCTGTTCAAAAAAAAAAAAACCAGCTCAATTTATTTCATCTCTATGTTCTACATGTTTGGATTTGCTTTCTATAGCGGTCCCGATATTTCCGCCCATAGGGCATTTGCTTTTGTTGTTAACATGTAATACTTTTTGTAGTGAAACTCTGATAAATGAAAGAATGTGAAGCTTTTGAATATCAATGCATGTCTTATTTAATGGGTTTAAAGTTATTATTTTGATTTGGATTTTCTTTCATCTGTTTATTTATTTTTTATTTTTTTCACTTCTTTGTTGTAGTCTCTTTGCTTTTGCTTCAGAAATAGATGAAGATTATCACGGTCAATAAAATATTTTCTATGCATATCGTTGTTGTTCTACTTTGTAGAGCTTACAGATCACAGGATTTGGTTTGGGGAAAATACACGATGAATTTTGTTATGAATATGATTTATCTATTTCACTATTGAAATTTATAATTGATTAGGTACGTTAATGTAAACTGCTATGATATCATATCTTTTTATGTGGGAAAATGATAGAAGATCAAGGTCCTTTGAGCATCTCTGTTCCTTATTATAGACAAAGTTGGTGAAACTCAACAAATGTTGACATGATTTTATTTTATTTTTTGCAAGCAAAAATAAATTTTTTTTGAACACTCCAACTAATATATGAACTAGAGGGTAATTTTGGCATTTTAAGTTTTATTTTTGCGGATCTCATCATTTTCTATATGATCAATTGATAGTCAACTAACAGGTGGTTTAAATTGTTACATATTTTCTTAAAGTAAGGGAGTTCGGTGTGATTTCAAATAATAAAGGGCGTGTCAATATGATTTCAAAAGAACTATAGGGTGTCAGTATAATTTACCGAAAAATTTAATCTCGTCATACACTATGTATTTTTAACTAAGAGTGAGTTTGGACACATTAACATGACACAAATTGCAAAAGACATAATACGATAACATGAAAAATAAATTGATTGAATTGATGTTGAGGTAATTATAACACGAACCCGATTAACACAACACGATGTCCACTCCTAAGGACCGAGGCAACTTGTCACCACTCCTGAGGGCCAGCTCGGCATAGCCATTCCTCATAACATGAATTTGCCTTTCTACTTGATGGAATAAAAGTGACTGCACCATAATTCGGTGTGACTCACTACGCCTAAACATTTTACATAAGTGTCAATGGTGATTGGGTATGTACTATGAACCCAACACTAAAAATTGATGTCGTTCGCTTGAAATATAGTGAATTGAAGTCATCTGGAATGTGTTGTCAGTAGGAGAACATATTCGTACGAATGCGGTTAGATTGGTGGAAAAAACATGAGCACGTATAGCCAAGTCACAATCGGACGTCGATCTATGAGGTAAAGCCATAGATAAAAGTTGGCATGAGGCAAAATATTGGTACCAAGGTAAACATGCTCAACTCAGGTTTGCCACCTCATAATGTTGTGATCAAGTGGGAGGTGATGGAATAAAAGTGATCGCACCATAATTCGGTGTGACTCACTACACCCAAACATTTTCCATAGGTGGTGGTGATATACCTTCTCGCAAGAAACATAGAGAATCTAGAAGTGGGTTTGAATTCAAAATCAAAAGACACAGGGTGTGTTTGGTTTTGTTTTGGGAGATAAATTTTCAAAAAAGAAAATCTTAGGTTTGAATTCAAAATCAAAAGACACAGGGTGTGTTTGGTTTTGTTTTGGGAGATAAATTTTCAAAAAAAAACTTAGAGAAAGAGTTTAGAATTTTTTTTTTATTTGTTTGGTTGTATATTTTGGAAATAGTTTTGGAGTATAGGAATTTGAGATGATTTGATATTTTGTTGTAATTGAGTAGATTTGTGAGAGAAAAAGTGATTGAGAAGGAGAGAGGAGAGAGAAAAAATGATTGATTGATATGTAGGAGAGAGAGTGATTTTGGAAACAAAATTTTGAATTTTTTTTTCAAAAATTGTGTCTTGAGAGTTAAACCAAACAAGGCCACAATGTTTTGTGAAGCATTGTGACTCTATACTCGTCTAATATGTCAAGGGTTGTGACTTTCTGCAAAGTCTACATGATGCCTATAAATATTTGGCCAAAGTAGTGCATTATTCATTCATTGGATTTCCTAACTAATATTGCATTCTTCGCTTCCGGATGCTCGATTTTTTTGAGTGATAAACACCCTCACAGGAACTAAGAGCTATTTACCATTGTTGAGTTTATCTTACACTACTAGCATCAACACGAAGAAATTTCATCAGCTAAACTTAAAATGAGTAAATAAAAAAAAATCACTTAAAAAAATTTGATTTACATCAATTTGTCTATAAACATGAATGAAAACCAGCCCAAAAAAATTATAAAATACAACAAGAGATGGATGGAGTTCAACAATATTTCTAAGAATACATTCTGCACGAAAGCAATCCAAAAGTGAACAAGAATGGGAAAAAGGATGGCTCTCTCAAAAGACAGTCAGAAATTGCATTAGTAATAACGAAATTAGATTTTGAATATCCCACTTGACTTGGACAATAATCTGAAGGAGAAGGTTCTTCATCGTCATAGTGAGAGGATAGCTATCACATTTGCACTAATAAGCATGCCAGTAGGGAAACCGATCATTGTGAAGAAAAATTTGAGGGTATGTGTGGACTATCATTTTGCAGTCCAGTTTATCTCCAAGGTTGTTGGTAGAAAGATAATTGTGAAGGACAATAGTAGGTTTCACCATTTTGAGAATGGATTGTGTTCTTATGGGGATTATTGGTAAGATTTTGAAGGTTTGTGGAGTATACACTGCTCAGAATCAGTGAACTACTCATTGTGATTGAGATCTTTAAGATCTTGAGATCTCTGAAATTTTTGCTTATGTGCTTCGGTAATTTGGTGCTTTTGGCAATGAGCATCTGCTTAAATGATGAGCCAGAGTATTAGGAGGAAAATGACTTTCATGGTAACTCTTTTTTGTAGCCAATAAATTAAGGGGAAAATAAGATCAATGAATGACCTTCACAGCACAAAGGCATGCAACGCATCAAAGCTTGCTTTGCAGAAGATGTGTTAAAATAAGAACATTTTGACAATGTCAACTGGACATACACATTTTTATCCTATAACTAGAATTGCAATCTTAAATTCCTAATGACTTTGAGCAAAGCATCATTGAAATTGATTCTAGTGCAAGACCTTTTTATTTTTTAGACATCCTGGCCAGAGATCATGATCCAATCAATATATTACATCTCTAGCATAGACAAAATAGGTTTCAGAAACCATGTTTGCCACTTGGAATATAAAGGTGAAATTCAAATGTTCACATATAGCAGCCTTCATACATATTAGTTGTAACAACCAAAGTCTTGGAAACAAAAAATAATGCACGACATTTCTAAACATGGATTTTTTTTCAATAGAAAACACAAGCATTAACTTTATTCATTTATTGGTTGAAAATCTATTTCTGCATTCCTTGCTTGTAGTAGTGAAATTGCACAGAGAGGTGTAGCGAAAGTCTTCCTGCAAGACTGAAACTCTTGAGATACGCGCAGCATTGTTGGACGAGATCTTGGCTCAGTGCGCAAGCATGCAATTTCCATTCTAGCAACAAGAATAATGCTCCCCACAACTATTGGATTAGTTGGAGGCAAAAGACGAGGATCTAAGACATCATTTAGCATTATGTTTTTAGCAGATGATGATTCCAATGATGAGAGAAGTTCTCCAGGATGCCTTCCCATGATTGTTTCCAGTGCCAACACCCCAAAGCTAGACGCATCACACTTTTCAGTCACAACCATTGTGTAAGCAAATTCTGCACAAACAAAAGATCAATGAAAGAAACCATACACTTCACTTTACGTTTAAAGAAATTAAGGAACAATGTTTTATGCTACCTGGAGCAATATATCCATTAATGCCTGCAATAACAGTTTGATTCGATGAATCAGGATGTAGTAATCTAGCAGTGCCAAAGTTGGAAACAAAAGCCTCCAATTTAGAGTTCAATAGAATGTTGTTGCTCGATAGATCTCGATGAACAATAGGTGGGGTGCAATCATGATGTAAGTAGGATAGAGCATGTGCTATTGCTTTAACAATGTTTACCATCAGAGTCCATCCTAATTCAACAGCATCAGTATCAGTTCTCAGGGAACAAAACAAACTTCCTCTTTCCATGTATTCATACACTAGGAACATGCATTTTTGTGCAAGCAGAACGCATAAAGCTTTATTATGTTTCGGTGCCTTACATTTGTTAACATTTGCACCTCATTTCTGAAACTCTTGTCGAAAGCTGGCTCCTCTGCTTCCAAACGATGGAGTTTTTTCAATGCAATTACTTTGCCAGATGGCAACTGAGCTCTGTAGACACTGCCATAACCACCGGTTCCAATGCAGTGTCTGATGTCAAAGTCGTCTGTTGCTTTGATGATGTCTTCGTATGCAATTCTTCCATCGTAATTCCATATCGAGCGAATATCCCCATTTTTCATTGCCCTCGCCTCAATTTTGTTTTTTTAGGCCTTACGGCATGCAAATGCAAGAAAGGCAAGGAAAACTATGATAGGGAGAGAAATGATGAGAGTAAACTTTACTACTTTTTTCTTGGAGCAATTTCTTGCTTCATATAGGGGCAGACAATCATACCTATGTTGTGGGATTTGACCCTTGAGACGATTGTATGACAAGTCAAGATCTCTTATGTTGCAAAGAGTATACGGGACTTCGCCAGAGAGATTATTGTGGGAAAGATCTAAGTGGCTTAAATAGAACAAATTTGTGAGTCCAGTGGGTATTGTTCCATTCAGAAAATTATTACTCAAATTTAAGTACTCCAAAAATTTGAGTTGTTCTAGCTCTTTTGGGATAAGTCCACCAAGCAAATTGTGAGAGAGGTCCAGATATATATATATATATATATATTGATTTTGAAATTGTTGAGCCAGATATATATATATATATATATTGATTTTGAAATTCATTGGATTTGATTGGTCGTACCTGACCTAAAAGTTGGTTCCATGACAAATTGAGATAAGCAAGGCGTGATAGTTGTCCAAGTTCAAGTGGTATGGTGCCATTAATCAGATTTGTAAACATGTCAAGATGGAACAAGTTCATCAACTGGCCTATAGAAGATGGGATTTTACCAGGAAGGAGGTTATGTCTGAGGTCTAAGTAATCCAATTGTGTCAAATCTCCTATTTTTGCAGGAATTAGGCCCTGAAGGCTGTTAACACCTAAATCCATCGTAACCAAATTCTTTAGCTTCCCTGTTTTTGGAGGAAGGAAACCGTTAAGTCGATTTGAAGAGAGCCACAAATGGGTCAAATTGGTCAATTGACCAATAGATGAAGGGATTGGACCACTAAGGATGTTTTGATCGACATACATGTCAACCAAATTTTGTAGCTTCCCTATTTTTAGAGGAATGGAACCGTTAAGTCGATTTGAAGAGAGATGCAATGATGCCAAATTGCTCAATTGACCAATAGATGAAGGGATTGGACCACTGAGGATGTTTTGTTCGACATACATGTCAACCAATTATGCAGCTTCCCTATTTCTAGAGGAATGGAACCGTTAATTCGATTTGAAGAGAGATATGATGATGTCAAATTGGTCAATTGACCAATAGATTAAGGGATTGGACCACCGATATATCAAGTTCAACTAGTTGGGTGAGGTATCCCAAGGTGAGAGGTAGCAAACCTTCAAGATTATAGTTGGCAATGAGACGAAGCCTGGTGAGCTTTGACAGAGTACCAATTTCCTCAGGGATGCTTCCAATTAAGTTACAGTTGCTGAGTTCGAGGTGTTCAAGATTTGGCAAGGATTTCCAATTCATGTTTTCAAGATTTGTGGGGGGAGGGGGGGAGAATAATAAGAATAAGAAAGGTCTATCCGAGTGACACCTCCTGCCCCATTGCAAGTGATGCCCGTCAGCTTGTAGTGATTTGCTAAAGAAAAGTTCCCCCACCAACTGCTATTGAGTAAAGCTTTTGCCTCTATCATTGACACTACAAGAAAAAACACTTTCCGTGACCAACATTTTGGTCGCGAAAAGTACCATATTTGGTCGCTAAAATCTTTTCGCGACCAAAATATGTTGGTCGCGAGTTGGTCACTAAAGCCTCGTCACAGATAGTTTTCTGCAACCAAAAAAGCCTTTGGTCGCTAAAAGTGACCATTCGCGACCAGCTTTTTTGGTCGCTGAAAGTCCAATTCATATTAGCCAAAAGTAAACTTTTAGCGACCAAAGATAAGTTGGTCGCCAAAAGTCAGCGCCTTGACCCCAAAAGAATAATTCTTTTGTGCTGCCTAGGACTTGAACTCCTGACCAAGGAGTCACCATGCACCCAATCCACTCAGCCAATAACATGCTTCTTGTTCATATTTGGCAAAAATATATATATAACCCATAAAAATTGGGTTATATATTATTTTATAAAACTTCCAATTAGGTGATTTTCCAACTTCCATAAAAATATACATATTTGCCAACTTTTTTTTTGGTCGCCAAAAGGTGATTTTCCGCGATCAAAAAATTGTGATTGCCAAAAGTTAAATTTTGGTCGTAGAAGTGGACTATTTGCGACTAAAAAAAATAGATGGTCGCCAAAAGTGTTTTTTCTTGTAGTGTGACGATGATGATTTTGCAGATGCCGAGGTTAACACACTAGTATTAATAACTGTCATGCATACTGCTACTACGAGTATAGCAGAGGAATAATAAAGAGAGGAACAAGTTATGCCCTTTTTACTCATAATTGAGGTATGTATGTATGTATGTATGTATGTATGTATGGATGCTGTTCTGGAAGTGCTAAAATAATGAGAGCATGAATGAAATAATGCCAGGCATCCTCAGATCAAAGAGCTTTTAAGAATATTGGTATTGATAAAAAAAAAAAGAAAAAAAAAAAAAGAAAGACTCAATCCATTGTTGTCTTCCTTGTAACTTCCTCAAACGTTTTATTCATGACTTGGAAATAGACTTTTACGTTTCCATAGACTTCGACTTGTCATAGGAAAGAAAGGACAAAATAAAAAGTGCATAATTATTAAAAGGGTAATTACACTGGACACCTTTAAGATTTTTTAATTTATATAACACTTTGTCTCATTTTCATCAAAAAATTATTAGTCGTATGAATGAAAAAAATAATATTGTCATATCTTTTACATTGAAATATACCTTTTAGATTGTGTGTCATTGTGTCTTCATATTGTTTGTATTAGTTTTGGTCTTTTTAACCTTACTAAAATCGAGGTCTATGTAATTATATCAAAATTATGGGACTTATTATATTTTCTCTTAACCTCAAGGAGGTGAGCGTAATTTGCCCTTTTAAAAATCATACACTAAGTTTACTTACTAAAATTAAGATGTGAATAATTTGGATTGTCAAAACTGGACCCTAAAATAGGCCACAAGGCCCAACAACACTTCTCCAATCCAATGGAGGACTTGAGAGAAGCCATGGTCAATAAGAATTTAGGGGTATTGTTTATTTATTTATTTAAGATGTGTACTTTTTGTTATCTATTTTAGAGTCAACTTAGTAAAAAAAAAAAAAAATAATAATAATAATAATAATAATAATAATAGGGTATAATTTCTTAAATTAGGAAAATACAATTAAGTTAAAAACAAAATATTTTATAATTAATTTTATTTAGTATAAATTTATTTCATAAAATTTAACTTATGAGAAAAGATTTAACTTAATATTTTTAACTAGGAGTGAGTTTTTGTGGTCATGACTTGGAACTACGGTCTTTACAATCGCATTGATTTGGAACCATAGACTTTACATTTGCATTGATTTGGACTTTTCTTAAGAGTGAGTTTTTGTGGTCATGACTTGAATTGCGGGCTTTCACATTTGCATTGATTTGGGCTTTTTCTTTCTTTTTTTTCCTTTTTTGGTTATATATAGTGTATCTTAGACCAGGTCGTACGTATCAGATTAAGTTCCTGTAGTCCGAACAAATCTTAATTCTTACGATCCATGGCTCCAAGAATTTTACTGGTGAAGAAAGTCAAATCTAAGACCTTTAATGGAGCAAACCCTAAACTCAGGCCTCATTCATCAGGTTTGGAGTTCATTGATTTGGACTTGTCAAAAGAAAAAAATAGTGCACAATGCGTGTTATGGGTGATTGATATGATCCTCTTCTTGACCAAGTCTCCATTCTGTTTTATTCTATTCTCGCTCCACTAGCCAACCCTAACTTATTTTTCACTTAAATCTTTTGAAATTGAGCCCTTATATATAATCACAAAAAAATTAAAAAAATTTGCATAATTATTAAATCTCTTGAAATTGTGCCCTTAAAATTATACACTAAATTTACTTACAAAAATCCATTAAAACTTTAAAGGAGCCTAATGTAATTATGTCAAATTTTTAAGACATACTTCATTTTCTCTTAACCTCAAAAGATGTTAGTGTAATTTACCCAAATAAAAAATAAAACATGAGATGGGAGTAGTTTAAGGATATTTCTAGTAATAATTATTGCTGCCTGAAGAGAGAGAGAGAGAGAGAGAGAGAGCCGAGCTTCTCTCTCTAAAGATTTTTAGTGGTGCTCCAACGACACTCCGGCAACCTCCTTTACACTTCTAAAATGTAGATTTACACTCCTAGAGTATAGATCTACACTTCTTGATTGTAGATCTAGACTTTTTATGTCTAAAATAGGAGTTTTGAGTTTTTCTATCCTTATTTTGGCATAGATTTTTTGGATTTTTGACACCTATAATAGTACCTTTTCTCTCATGCCTCCTTTCATACCATTGTAGATATTCTTCCTCTTTAACTCTAGTTTCTGATGGTGTCTAAAGTTCAGCAGCGGTGGTGGCAAAGTTGGATAGCAGTGACGGGGACGATGGCGATGGCGGGTGTTGATGCAAATCTTGCATTGTTTAATGCAGATGTTACTTTCCAAATCACATCTATGAGAAGATTGATGATTTCCTAAATCGTAGCTGATTTTTTGATGGATTTATTTTTGTTGTTTGTAGCTTGTTGTTTGTTTGGCTCTTTAGAGTCTTGTTGTTTTTATTGTAATATGGTGTGTAGTTTGTTTTATTTTAGTATAACTCTTTTTCTTGTTCCTCAAAAAAAAAGAAAAAAAAAAGGATATTTCTAAGAATGCACTTTGCAACAAAGCAATATAGGTGCAAATATGTGCTTATCAAATCTGCTAAAAGAAGTTATACAACCACCAATCTCCTATAACCCTCTAGTTATTGAGACTCTCAGTTATAGCTATAAATAGCTCTATGTTGGCTCGTTTGAAAATTTGTTATTTTAGTTAATATTTTGATTCTTTATGAAAAGATTTGTGAAAAAACGGAGAGAGTGATGTAACAACTTGTATTGACAAACGAAAAATATTTGAGACCCCTCAAAAACTCACATACTTCTACCCATAATGATATATCTTGATAAGTGTCAATTTTTGATTGGTTACACACCTAATAATCGAGGGCCTAATTCTTTTATCACATCATTGTAGGTAAATTTATGGATCATATGTGTGGATCTCTAACATTACTCTTGACAAACAAGGACTTGTAACTACAGAAGAACGACTTGATTACATAAAAACACAAATTCAAGGGGAGCAAATTAAAAGAGGCAATTACAATATGATAAGCATGAGACTCAATCCATTATTGCCTTCCTCAAATGTAGTAGTCATGACTTGGGACAGTGGACTTTACATTTGCATTGGCTTTAACTTCGATTTGGACTTGTCACAAGAAAGAAAAGAAAAATAAGTGCATAACGCGTTATTCGTAGCATGAGACTCAATCCATCATTGCCTTCCTCAAAAGTAGTAGTCATGACTTGGGGCGGCGGACTTTTACATTTGCATTGGCTTTATCATGCCGACAACCGGTTATTTTGGAGCCTGAACTTACAAATGTAGTGATAATATCTCAGAAAATCTTTTTTTTTCGTTAAACAAACAAACAAACAAACAAAAAAACAAAAAAAAAAAAAAAAAAAAAAAAAAAAAAAACATGTTTGGTTTGGACTTGTCACAAGAAAAAAAGGAAAAGTAAGTGCATAACGCATTATTCTATCCTATTCTATTCTATACTGACTTCACTATGATTAGGGCTTCTCTGGAAATTAAAATCTTCATCTACAATCACACAAAAAAAATAAAAAAAATAAAAAAAAATAGTAATAATAATAATAATAATAATAAATTTGCATATATATAATTATTAAAATTATACACAGACTTTATTTACAAAAATCAAGACATGAAAAATCATTACATGAACTAAAAATAAATAAAAACATTGGCCTTCTTGCTTTATGATTTACACACAAAAAGAAGAAGAGAAAAAAAACCCTAGATTAACCAAAAATAAAAAAATAAAATCAGCAAATGTAAAATAAAGAAGGGTATTTTGCCAGATGGCAACTGAGCTCTGTAGATGCTGGCTCCTCTAAAACTCTTGTCAAAAGCTGGCTCCTCTGCTTCCAAACGATGGAGTTTTTTCAATGCAA